ATATAATTAATACATCATAATTCTATGATTTCTTTTGTGTGATGTAAATTTAATGGTCAACATAAGTTCATACAGGGAAAGAACATCTCAATATTCATAAATTGATGAAACAATGAAAGTTAATAATGTAGTACCCCAATTTCTTATTGGATTCCTAAAACCCAACATTTATAATGAATTTTAATAATTTTTTTGAATTTTTTTAAGGCTTAATCCGAGCGATTCGGCCCGATTCCCGATCCAAATCGTCGATTCGCTGATCGGATCGGTTTTTGGGATGCCCGATCTAGGTCACCGATCCGTTTTTTAAACCACTGCTCTGAACTATATAAAATTTCAGCAAGTGTACCAAGATCCTAATGACTACAGAAAGTTTGTTGTCATGAGGGTCATCACAATCTGACCAATGTGTGCATGCGCGATGATTGGATTGTGATGACCTCAAGACTTTGGCTTTTTTTAAGTCGTGAAGATTATAGTAGACTCTTTGAAATATATTATATTTATTCTCTAGAAATTGCTTCCCTGGAGCTGAGCTAATTGCCTGTACATGTGAAGCAACCGTTGCCAAAATACTTAGAGATGGGAAGAATTTGACTCTCTCTCAGTTGGAGAAGGAGTATCGAGAATGGGTTTGTCAGATGCATGAAGCATTTGATGAGGAAATAAATACTGGAGAAGATGAACCAGTTGTTCTTATTAGCCCATGCAACAAGAAGGAGCTTGGTTTTACTTCTGAATCTGATGGTAAGCATGTAATTACTATGTGGGAGCATTCATTTTTCAAAATTTTCATCTATTTGTGTTGTCTTACTGATGTCATAAAAGTCAAATGTTTTCCCTTTACCTAGTCATAAGAGTGCACTGTATTATAAAACGGAGAGGGAGGACTTGGGAGTGTGGAGAGAAGGTGAAAATTCTAAAAGGTGCGGTTGGGTGTCCCAAGAATGATCTTTATGCGACTCTCGAGTTTATACTATTGGAAGGATTTCAAGGTGATGTTGGTGGTAAGTATTTCTTTTGTGATTTCTTATGTGGACTTTTCCTTTATGCGGAGCATCTTTGTTTTCATTGATGTAGAGATCAGATGTGCGTTAATATCATTTTAGAATGTTTGCCATACTGATACTCAGCCATCCCTTTCTGTTTCTGAATAGGGGAAGCTCGACTAATCTGCAGGTATTTGATGCTTTTCACATTTTTAGTATTTTATATTGACAATTACTATCTGAAACTTCAGTTTCAAAAAAAGTACTATCTGAAACATGTTGTATCATTTTGATTAGTAAATAGTGTGGGAGCTCATGTCATGCACTTGTGTAGGCCATTGGATTGCCCGGATGAGAATGGTGCGCTGTTGACAAAGTCTGGAAATCCGAGTTTGGACATTCGGGGATCTATTTCTTTCCCCATAAATGTGATCGATTCTGGGAAGGTTGGTGTGCAAATCCTAGCATTTGTAGCCACAACATTATATGTTCATAGTTATTTTGGATTTGTGATGATTTGTTTTCGCATACCAGTGCCATTCTGTAGATACAGCTTCATGGGAACGCAAACTTGAGATGAAGAGACAGAAAGCTCCTGCTTTGATTGATCCGCTGAATGCGGAGCAGTGTTCCCAGTTAGGGATTGATGGGGTAAGTTGATCCTTGCATTTGCTTGATTTCATTCTATGTTATTTCTTAAAAACTAATACTTCTTTTGGTTTTATTGCATCAACTATATTAGAATATGTAGCAGAATGTGACTTCAGTTGTGTTTCAGGCACTACCAAGCATGGCTCAAGTTCCTGCAGGATACATGCCTCCAAAGGAGATTGTTGCAGTATTTAGGCCTCACACATTTCTTGATTCTAGGTTGTCGAGTAGCTTGGATCAGAAGTTTATTGTCAAAGATGATCTGGAGATGAAATTGGAAATTAGATTTAGTAGTGAAGGTGGAAATCACCCAGATATTGACATAATATATTCCGCAAGCTCAAAATCTTCCTCACGTAGAGGATTCAAAGGCTTATATATTTTTCCTTTAAATTGCTGTCCAAATTTATTCCATAAAGCTGGTGCTTATACTTTTTCTTTCTCCGCGGTAAGCAAGTCATTCAACTATTTCCTGATATTTTGCGTTGAGCACTTCTCTTTTATATTGATAACTGCCTCCTGGTTTCTCTTATAGTTGTATGTATTCTGTTTCCCTTGTTCGCTCATCTTATATATTGGTATGCTTAATTGTTCTAGATTTGCGGCACATGTACATGTAAGCGGCGAGAACGAAGGATTGAAGTTGGGCCTGCTGATAAAATTGGCTATTGGAGATTATTAGAAGATGTAATTATCAATAGTGAAAAATTTCCTTTGAAAATAAGGTATATACTTATTTTAAATAACTTGTATATTACAAGCAATGTTCGACCCTATATGTTTTTGCTATTTTTTTCCTTGAAGGAACTGAGTGTACTATTTTAGAAAACATAAGTGCATTCCTAGGTCCCTAATTGGCTAATTTTTGGATATTTCTTTCCACTTTTTGTATTTAGGAACCATAAACTCAATGTTGCACCTATTGCAGTATACCTGTAATTTTGTCAATATGCAATAAAACTTAAATTGCTATTTCCTAAAAAAGAAAAAAAATACAAGGTAAGGAATCGGGCTTGGGTCAAGGCAGTAGTAGCTGGGTTTTAATAGCACTACGTTTCAAGTTCCATTCCTATGTAACCTTATCAAAAAATTAAAATAAAATACATGGTAGTTCAGCACACTCTAAAGAAGATTCATGGGGAGTATCAAATTTATTGATGCTATCAGTGATGTCTGGCATCTTCTTCACCTTTTGATCAGCGACTATCATTTCTCAGGTTTTTTATACTTGTATGCGATGTACAATAAATTATGTATTTAGTTGTATATATAAATTTCACTTGCTGGGAATATCGTTCTATTTTCCTGTTGTCCATTTAGTAATCAACGTGCTTGTTTATTGTAAATGCAGCATTTATTTAATGTGTATAGTTAGAAATGTAATGAGTTTGAAGTTTGACAGCCTTTCTAGGTTTACATGTTCATTGCATTACTTTGCAGGGTTGGCTCATCCATCCACAATCTTTCCATTGCATGTTATGATGTTTATGGTAATCGAATGCCACTTACAAGTCTTCCAGAAATGGAAATGAAATTCCAGAAGTGTGAAGCGGTGCTGTTACATACAAACAAAACCCTCATTAGCATAGTAGATGATAAAATGAGCCTTGAAATAAAGGTACTTTGCTCCTTGTAGTTTAAGCTTCTCTGGGTTCTTTGTTAGAGCAAATAGTGGGATGACCTTCATAAAATTGGTGCAAGTGGTGCTCTTGACTTCTTGTATTAAACATGTCTGGCTTCTGGGTTCCTGGCCAGGATTTATTGGTCGAGTCTAGCAAGTTAGATGTGATTAGACCGCATTACAAAGATACTTTGGAAATAAGATCTCAAGATGGTTTTTGCTCGATTGAAGTTCATTGTCAAGGTATTATCAGAAGTTGAAGTTGCTTTTTATGAATGTGGAAAATTTTATGTGCCTCACTAGGGGACAGTTGGCTCTTAATTACAGTTTATAGTTTGGCCAATTTTCTTTTTACTATTGTAATTTGATTTATCTGTTCTCTGGCCTAGTTTTTCCTGGTCTTCCTTGTCAAGTTAAGATGAGAATTAGTGGGAGACTAAAGCATCAGTTGCAGCCTGGGGATGTAATTCAAGAATTGGTATTGGAGGTCTGATTTAAAGTCTCTGAGCATGTGCATCTATGTGGCATTATAGCGTGACATAGTTATTGATCAAAGTTTTTATTCATTTGTTTCCTCTATATGTTTGTGTGCTCACATGCATGCCGCATGTGTGCATACTATGCTCAAATTCAAGATAAAGCCATATCTTATCACAAAGCAAACAGTTCATGAATGACATGTACATGCATACTATCCAAGGAAGAATACCTATGTACTTCCAAACTTGTATAGTGTAGGTAGTTTTTTTTTTACTTTTTAAAATTAGGCTTCCATTTGTACTTTCACATTTGGGATGATGTTCCATAAATTGCCCATTTGTATTTGTGTCAGATTGTTGGGAGATACCTCATTATTTGATTATGGGGCTGTTTACTCTTCACTGTTTTCCATTCAAGTTATTGTCAATGATTTTTTTTAGGTGAAACTATTTTGTGATTTTTTTCACCAATTTTGATTTCGTTTGGCTGCTTCTCAATTTGTTCAGGTATTAGATGCTTATGGGAATCATGTTGAGACAGGGCAAGAGATTTCTCTTGATCTGAATGGGTTTAGTCTTCCAGATCAGACTGGACAGAAGTGCAAGGTGTGGTTAGTAGTTCCTTTCTTGTGCATTATATTGATAACTCGTCCTTAAGTTGTAGGAAGCGTTTTTTTTTTTAATTTTATTCTGTGCATAGATATTCTGTTGTATGTTACAATATTACAATATTATTTTTCTCTCTGGCTTTTCTAGAGTTGACAAATGTTTAGTTTTAATTTCTGAACTTTTGTTCTGTCGGTTATGTTTAGCCTCTATAATTGGGATGCAAGTTACATTGGACACCGAACTGATGGGATATATATCATAGATATATATCCTGGGTTTTGTTTAATTGTAAAAAATCTGCCATCTCAATGTTTTTTTTGTCATGTCTAGAAGCTGTTTATTTTGGGTTTGGCACACTTCTATGAGGCCGTTGGGTTCTTTATTCAGTAAGAATTCTTCCAACAAAAAAAAAAAGAAAAGAAAGAAAAATACAAAAATAAAAGTAATATAATGTTGGTGGCACCTGCCATCTTTTCATATATACAGTTCCCCACCCTTTACACAAAAGATACACCGATCTGTATGCCTTTGTCATACTTTTGTCTGTGTTTTACCATTCCTATATTGGATCATCTCTTGGTATGGGTTTGTGTATATATGTTTTGTCCTTCATTTATGTCACATCAGAAATAGAAGAATCCATCACCTGGTAGTTTATTGCTTGAGTCAGTGTTGGTTTTGATTAATACATGTGTTTCTCACTGTTCATCAAACCATAGCATATAAATAGTAATGTTGTACTCTCTTTGAATGGAAATCCAATTCTATACATTCGGAGTGAATCTTGTGCTATGTATGATATTGCTTGCTTGAATTCACCATCATACACTCAAAAATGAGAAATCAACCAACCCCCCCCCCCAAACCCACCCCAAAAAAAAAACAAGGAAAAAAAAATGGGAGAGTAATTTTCTCAAAGAATGGGAAGTGTGGTTATCACATTTTTCGGACCATTTTGTCATTTTTGATAATTCAGAACATATCTTTTCCAAAATTGCATCATCATGAAATTTGGAGAATGTGCAAGTCACTGTGCTGCATCTGTAAAAATATAAAAAAATAATTCAAATAAAATAGAATGACCAAAATATTTCTAAAGTTTTAGGGGTGTTTTGGTCATTTTAACTTTTACAAAATAAATTTTTTATCTAACACGAGCATAGGACTAAGAAGGAGAGACGCCCAAAGTTTCATCTTAATTGAATATATAGATAAAATTGAAGTACTCGGATGATAGTCAAGTATAATACAGAGTTTCTTGGGTGTTTCAATCATTCTAAGTTTTCAAAACATGTTTTTAATTTTTAACAGGTGTGTTAGGGTGAACAGTATACATACCCAAAAGTTTTGCTCCATCAGATGCTAGAAAAAAAGAGACAGAGAGAGAAAAAAACTTACAATTGACAATATGTGCTCTCAACCATCATTGAGGATCCGTTGGTCATTCTAATTTTTCAAAAATATCTTTTCTGTATGTTGCAGGTCCACGAGGGTGAGAAGTATAGATGGCAAAAAATTTAGCTCAATCGAATGTGCATAAAAAAATAGAGTTGGAATACTCAACACATGTTTTCAACTCTTCAATGAACAGTTAATGTTGGGTAATTTTCAAATCTCCAGATTTCCAGGTTTAGAAATTCCTAGATTAAATCAATCATAGATTTCCATAATCAGTTTCCTAATTTTAAACAAGATTTCCATACTCACTGTAAATTCAGACATTAACTAAACATAATATTTTCCTTTACTAAGTTCTCAATTTTCTGGATTGTAGATTTCTGAATTGGAGTTTGCAAATTTGATTCCAGCTTCCTTTTGCCAAACACTCTCCAAAGATATTGTAAAAAGTACAAAAATCAATTCTATGCTAAGACAACAATGCATACACATATGCGTTGAGGATATTTTCTTAAAATGCTAATTTAAATCCTTTACGGCATTGTGTTCTAGTTGTGGGAAGCACCTTCAATGCAGAGGGAGAATGAGTTCAATAGAAGTCATCTCCATTGGTTTAGGACCTAGGTTTGAATTAAAAGAAACACTTTCTTGAACCGTCAAAAGCAAGCGAAGTAGAATTTGTGTTTGCAAAACTTTTGCTTGCTGATCACTTTCTTTGGCTGTTGCTTGTGGCCTTCCTGAGGTTGCTTTATTGTCGTTGCTTTGATTAGAATGCACTTTAGCGGTCAATCTATCGTTCTTGTTCATTTGTATTAATCAAGTAATCACTTGCATTAATCAAGTAATCACTTTTGTTGGTGATCATTTTTTTTTACTATTGATAGAAAATACATTTCTTTTGCTTTAGACATGCTGCATCATGTTTTCAATACTCTCTGCCAGTGGAATGTATGGTGATTGGTTTCAGAAAAGTAAAGTTCTTCAGTTTGTAGTCCAGCATCTGCATAGTATGTGAATACATTTCATCTATATGGTGCAGTGGCGTTTGTTAGTATTGAGAGGTACTTTTCTTGAGTGTAGGTGAATGATCAAGGATGTGTTATTCTTAGTGGCATGTTGAAGGTTACAAGTTATGGCAAAAATGGTAAGGAATTGCCTTATTGGTTTTCCTGATATAGTACATGCATCGAGATTGTCATTCTGAGATTGATCCATTAGGCAATCTATTTGTATAAAATGAACTACTACCATTAAGTGTATTCGCAATATGATGTGAAAAGTAAACTAGCAGTATGCAATTTTTTGCTACTTTTTCCATACCAGTGATGATGTATATGGTTCTTTTCTGTAGATTGGCTTTTATAGATGGCACGAGTCCTTTTTATCTTTATTTCTCTTTTATTTAAGTTAATAGGACCGATACATCCTATTTCTATTTTGTATGGACAGTTTTGCCATTTGTCTAAACCCGAGGGTTGTCCCCCCCACCTCTTTTTTTTCCCGCAGAAACCCACATGGGTTTCTATTTAGTGTGGTGATGTTGTTTTTTGTGTGATTCCTACTCAAAGATTGAGATGAATAGAGGAATTGCCTGTTTTCGAGGTTTGTGTGCAACCGTGGATGATTTGCCAGAGTTTTATCTCCAACTATGTTTTTCATGCGTATGGGTGCCTCCCTAATGTACTCAAAGAGTGGCAATGTGGTGATGCTTAGATTTGGATAGTGTGGTGTTGGTGTCATTTGTTCGTGTGTGAGAAAGTGCGATGCTCAGATCCAAATGATAACTATCTCTCTTTTTTTTTAAGGGAAAAAAATGTTCCTAGCGTTACACTTGGCTTGGTGTGAGTGATTGAATTTAGTTGACCCTAGTTGGCTCCTTTATCTTTTATTTCATATACTCATGGTTAATGAAATTAAACCCAAAACCTTCATTCTTCCTGAACATGTGGGGATGGAAATTACTTCAGTAAAATTAAATGAGTCCAATTATTTTCTGTGGGCTCAATCGGTTAATATATCCCTTGGTACTAGGGGGAAATTGAAATACTTGGCCTAGGACAAGCTTGGTGACTCTAATAGTAGGTATGAAGAGTTACATAATCATACTTGGTTGTGGAGCTATATGTAGCCTCAAATAAGTGCTATTGTGATGTTTCTTAAATAAATTTGGGTTTATAAATTTGTGACGAAACATAATCATCAGATAAGAACATCTCTCAGGTTTATGAACTGTCTGAGAAAACATTTTCATTGCAACAAGGTAATAAGAGCGAGTCAATATTTTATTTAAAAAAAAGAGTGTGAGTCAATATTATAGTGCTCTTAGAGGTATATGGGAAGAGTTCAATCTGCATCAGCCTAGATCTGGTGATGTAGAATTTTTCCATAGGGAGGCGCATGAAGAATGCGTAGTTGACAAATTTTAGTTGGATATTAATCTTGAGTGTCATTCCTTTCATGGACAGATTTTGGCTAGCAGTGAGCTAACGTCCCTTAAGTATGTGTATGGAGGCAGAGGTGATGGTGGCGGAGGTTGGGGATGTGGTTGTGACTCAAGAAAAGGTCGTGGTAGAGGTGATGGAGGCAGGGGTTGCGGAACTCGAAAGGGTATGCATTGTGGGCGTAGAAATCATAAAGTTGATAGGTGTTGGGATATGGTAGGTAAGCCTACTTGGGAAAATCAGGTTACTTTCACATCTGAGCGCGATGATGTTTATCTCAATGGACCTAGTGATCATCAATTATAGTCAAGTTCTATTAATGACTCAATTGTGCTTACAAAAGATGAATATTGTGAACTTGTTAAACAAGTATAGAACTCTAGTGTCAATCCTTCCACTTCCACTACCACCCTTGCTATCTCAGGTACTTCTATGCTTCTTGCATCTCAGAAATCCACTTCTTGGATTGTTGACTCAGGAGCTTTTGACCATGTGACTGGTGGGTCTGCTGTTTTTGTATCTCTAGATAAGTGTTTTCCTAATTCCTTTATTACTTTGGTTGGTGGATCGCTGTTTGGTATCTGGGTAAGATATACTTATGGCTAATTCTTTCCTTTTTCTGTCCTCTATGGCATATGCATCGAACTTTCCTTTCAGTTTGTTGGCTGTGAGCAAATTAACTAAATCTCTTCACGGTTCTTTAAATTTTTCCCCTTCTTCATGTGTCTTTCACCATCTAAAGACAAGGAGGACGATTAGCGGCTGATAGAAGTCATGCAGCCTTTGCTATTTGGATCAGAACCTGATTTGTGCTACTTTTAACTCTGTTGCTTCTCCCTTCTTATGGCATTGTCAGTTGGGCCATCCTTCTCTTAGGGCCTTGAAGCTTATCAATTAGGCAATTAGTCCATTGTTTAGAGTATGTTCTACTTTAGAGTGTGAAGCTTATCAATTAGGCAGGCATCATACAATATCATTTACCTTAGAACTGATAAATGAAAGCATGTTCTTTTTTCAGTTGTTCATTATGATATCTTGAGTTGTGCTTGAGTACAAGGTTTGTCTGGTCATAGATATTTTATAACTTGTGGATGATTATTCATGAATTATATTTAACAACAGAAATGCATGGGATTTTCTCTATTTTTAAATTGTTTAGCAAGGAATTCCAAACTCAATTTAGTAAGAATGTGTGTGTTTTACGTTTTGATAACGCTAAAAAGTATTTTTCTAGAGAATTTCAAAATTATTTTTCAAAAGTATTTTCTAATGAATAGGCACTTTCCAAAAGTTTATTGGAGAGATGCGTTGCTGACCTCATGCTATTTAATTAATTGCATGCCCTCTTCAGTTTTGAATGGGAAAACACCACTCTGTACTCTTCCTTGATACTCCATTGTTTTTGGTTCCTCCACAAGTGTTTAGGTGTGTTTGCTTTGTTCATGTGTTGGGTACCAATAATGAATAGATAGATCCTTGAGCTGTAAAGTGTGTTTTTTAGGGTATTCATGCTTTCAAAAAGGTCATCGATGTTATCATCTTGGTTTATGAACGTCTGTGTTGATGTTACCCTTCATGAAAATACCCATCTCTCCAAAGAGGGTCGTATGCTTCACAAAAATTTCTTTTATCCTGATCTAGAAGAAGTCTCACAGTCCTCATCTTCTGTAGTTTCATGATGAATATTGAATGAAACAATTGTGCCTTATGTTAAACTTAATTTGGTTTAAGTAGTTATATGTTTAAGTAGTTATATTTGTAGCATCAAAAGTGGCCTGGCCACTGTCGTGGCTTGATGTGAAAAATGCCTTTCTCCATGGTGATCTACAAAATGAGGTGTATATGGAGCAACCACCTGGGTTTGTTACTCAGGGGGAGTCAGATAAGGTATGTAAGTAGACAAAAACCATTTATAGTCTATAAGTTGTTCCCATATGCATGGATAGTTTGAGAAATTTAGTGAAATTGTTCTGTCATATGGAATTTAGTGAAATCTAGTGGAATATAATCTGTAAGTTGTTCCCATATGCATGGATAGTTTGAGAAATTTAGTGAAATTGTTCTGGCATATGGATAGTATGAGAAATTTAGTGAAATTGTTCTGGCATATGGAATTATAGGCAATGGTCGGAAGGTATTAGTCATTTGAACAGGCACTTGAGACAATATCTTTAGGCGAAGGATTCTGGATTTGTTAAGGTATTTTCTAGGAATTGAAGTTGAAAGGTGTGGCTATGTGGAACTCAAGGTATTAAATTCAAACATTTACTTTTATTTCAAATACCTGGATTCCACTTACATGGCCACAATATGTTGCTGTGAATTAAAAAAGAGCCCTAGATACAACCTAAGATCTTTCTTTTTACTATCAAGAGAAATAAAAATATCCAAGAGCTTAAACCAAACTTCCACTATTCTTTAAGTAATTTATCCCTAAATAAGTATTTTTTTTATTTTTTAAATTCCACCACCTTGTGCTTGGACACCCATTAATTTTATGCCTTCTCTTCCATCTCTTTATGCAGGCATCCATAGCCACGAGCCTATGTTGCATAGTCAAACTCTTTCCTGGGATAACCCTTCTTAGACCAACAAATAGATAATTAGGACTTGTAATAAAATTATGACTTGGTCAAATACTCTAGTCAATAAGAAAATCACTAAGATAATTTAATAAAAAACAACCAAAATGTTTCCACTAAGAAAATATTTTATAACTAAAAAACATCTTTTATCTATTTTTTTTAGAAAAACGAGTGGCACATAAAAGTGGGCGTCCCACTTAGTGGGACGTGTGGGCCCTAATGGCCTCCATGTGATGCCCCTATGTGTGCCCCACACGTGTGGGCTGTGCTCTTAGCCCCCACCCATAAAAAAAAGAAAAATAGTGTTTTTACACATTAAAAATCAATTTTAAAAATTTTAAAAAATTCCCAAATTCCTTAGTAACATATTTTTAGTTCAAAACAATGGTTTCATTGTTCCATAAAAATCCAAAACACACAAAGACAACTTAGAAGTGAATTGGTTACCTAGTGGATCAAAAACAAATAAATATCACTTTGCCCCTGTCAGGATCTATGTTCCACTAATGTCTTCTCAAACTAACCCAATGAGACCCCCAAGGGCTTTCTACTCCCGTCCTTTTTCTCAAACTAACCCAATAGGTGAAGAATGTGGATGAGAGACTGCTTCTTCCATCCTTTCTTTTCAATCCTCATCAACGGTACCCCTAAGGGCTTCTTCCCTTCTTCGAGGGGCCTTCGCCAAGGGGATCCTCTTTCCCCATTTTTCTTCGCTATTTCGGTCGAGGTCTTTAGCCGGTCTCTCGCCTGCCTTTACCAAGTTGGACTGCTTATGGGTTTTCAAACTTCACTTCGTGGCCCAATAGTGCCGCATCCACAATATGCTGATGATACACTAGTCTTCCTTGATGCCTCCCCGACTGAAGTGGAAAACCTGAGACTCGTTCTCAAGTGCTTCCAATTGGCCACGGGGTTCAAGGTCAATATGGATAAGTCCAAAATGATGGGAGTAGCAATTGACAACAACCAAATCAAAGAGCTAATTCCATCCTTGGAATGTAAAGTCGATGACTTCAAAGCAACCTATCTTGGTCTACCTCTCGGGCTAGGAAATCCGAAGAAGAGGCTCTAGTCCCATGTCATCGACAAGTTAGACAGAAGGCTGGCTGGATGGAAAGGGAGATTTCTTTCCCAAGCAGGAAGAACCACCTTTATCAAGACCCCTGCCAATGTACCTATTTATCTTATGTCTCTTTTCCGAATGCCCGCTTCAGTGGGAAACCGCCTTGATCAACTCATGACGAACTTTCTCTAGTCAGGATAGGCAGACAAGACAAAGTTTCACCTCATTTATTTGGACAAAGTATGTTTACCCAAGAACCAAGGAGGTCTAGGAATCAGAAATTTGAGAAAGCAAAACCTCGCCCTTGGTCCAATGCATCTGGAGCGTGGAGATCCTTGGTCTCCTCTCTCGATATGTTCAAGAAATTCATCAGGCTTCACCCTAGAGAAGGCACAAGAGTTCGCTTTTGGTCTGACTTTTGGATAGGTCATACACCATTGAGGGAAAGCTATCCTTCTCTTTATGCAATAGCAACAAAGAGAGACTCCACAATAGGAGAGGAATTGATACCACAGGGAGGTAGAAGACGATGGATGCCTTCGTTTAGGAGCAATCTATTCGAGGAGGAAACAAATCATTTCATCTCTCTTTCAGCACACGTGCATGGAACTTTTATTCCAGTCCATGGAAGAGATAAGTTGGTGTAGTCCCTGGTCCCTTCAGGAGAATTCACAGTGCATATTGTAGCACCTCCCAAGGTGCAAACTTTCAATTGGATAGCTGCCTCCCATAAGGCACTAACAATTGATCAATTGCAAAGGAAAGGGATCCCCATCCCTAATAGGTGCTGCATGTGTCTCTGCGAGGAGGAGTCCAACCTCCAACCCTTCCTCCTCTGTAATGTAGCACATAATCGAAAGTTGGGAAAATCTTATGGAAGGCTACAGTGGCTACGGTCCTTTGGACGCTCTGGAAAGAAAGAAATGCCAGGACCTTTAGGGGACAAGTCACCCCGCTCCCAGCTCTTTACCAAAAGTTTACAGCCTTAGTAACCTTTTGGGTGTCAAATAATCATCAGTTCAAGGGTATCCCAGTGAACTACTTCCTACCTCAATATAAGAATATTCTCCTACACATACCTAAGAGAAAGAAAATATCCGCCACCTGGAAACCTCCCCCCCCCCCCAAGGAGCTATCAAACTTAATTTTGATGGATGCTCTTTGGGCAATACAGGCCATGCAGGTATGGGAGGAGTCTTTCGAGATCATCAACACAATGTCCTTTTCAGTCCTTTTCACGTTTTCCGAATACTTAGGTGTGCAAGATTCACAGCATGCTGAATCTCTCGCGCTCCTCGAAGGCCTGCAAAGCTTCGATAGATCTTGGGGACAACATATGATAATGGAGGTAAACGCCCAAAACATCATCACCTAGGCCTCTAGGCAAGCTCCCCCTTCATGGTATCTTATGCCTTTGTATGACGAGATTGAACTTATATGCAGGGATACACCCGTCTCATGGATGTATACCTCTAGGACGTCAAACTCCTTCGCGGACCTCCTGGTGAAGGATGGAGCCAAAGCCAATGAGGAAGACTAGGCTCGCAACACCTCTTGGACCGCATGGGCCATGCGCAGTTTAGCGTAATTTTTGCTTTGTTTATAAATTTATAGCAGACCTTGTAAGGGGACTTATTTATAACCCCATCTTTGTATATTTTGTGAAGGGGCGAATCTATATCCCCATTTTGTATAGGGCTTGAGGGCCTTTTCTTTTTGGTTGAGAGTCCCGTCCTCCAGGGTGCTCTTGTACTATCTCAGCATTGTAACTCCTCTTTTATGGTAATATAATTGCCAACATTTAAAAAAAAAAAACTAACCCAATGGGACCCATGACTCACAGTCAAGTTCAGGGGCTTATTATTGGCCCATCAATGTTAGCCAATAAAGAGTGGAACCATAGAGGATTACAGGTTCCACCCTAAGAGCTAGTTAAATGCTCACATAGTGCTAGGGGTGGCACTCTCTATGCATATGTATATGCATCCCTCTATATATGGTTGCTTCCTAAAATGTGGCTATAACATGTACATGTCATGCATGAAAACGTTTTCTATTACAGACAAAAGTTTTTAAATGTATATTAAGAGAATAGTTATTGTCGTACACATTCAAATAATGTACAATAAAAAAAGAAGTTTGTCAATCCAGTAGACACTTTTGAAACATAGATAGGATATTTTATGTAAAAAATATAATCTATGAAAATATTTTTGGGAAGATTTGAAGTGAGATGTAATATATGCATTAAATGACATTAAATTGATTACTTAAGAAATCAAAGACAAAAGGCATTTCAAAATCTAAGAAAAGGTTTTCTACTATAAACAGAAGTCCTTAAATGAAAATTAAGATAATAAATAAATCCATGAAAAATGTCATTATTTTCATGAATTTTTAAATGATCTAAAATAAAAAAAGTCAATTGAGTAGACAATTTTGGAACGGTAGAAAAGACATTGTGCGAAAAATATAATGTATAATAATTTTAATATTTAAAAATAATGCAAAATATTTTAGGGGATATTTGAAATGAGATACAATCATATCAGGTTACGAAAACCAGGAAAAAAAATTTATTATAAATTGCAGATTTTAAATGAAAATGATGAGAAACAAACGACTCATGATTGATCCATCAAAGATGGCCAATAACTGGCAGAACCACCAACATATTGTCTTGATCGCATGCTCTCTCCCTAAGAGCAAGTCATATCTATAAGGACTCACACGCACATATCGCTATTGTGCAAGGGGGATACTCTTTTATACACATTTACATCTTTCCCTCTATATGGGGCTGCTTCCCAGAATGCTGCTATGATGTTTACATGCCATACAGTGGTTGTTGAGGATTTGGACCTTGCCCCTTACAGGCCTGCACCACAGCAGGAGTCCATGAAGCTCTCCTCGTTCGCACATCATCCATGGACATCTCTCCTACCTCAACAGGGGATAACCCAGTTTAACCTTCAACGGTAATGCCTTATGCCCAAGGTTGGGTTTTGAACATGATCTTGGGCCATAAACAGCCAAAACTCATGGTCAGTCAACCAACACTCCCATTGGAGTGTGCACATCCTCTCAAGGCCTTTAAAGACCATAAACCCCAACAGCTCCTTCACTTTAGTGTTAGTAGGACTTCGTGAATGGCTAGCAATGGCGTGCTATGCATCATTGATTCCTGCATGCTAGTTCAGCTGCATGCAATTTTTGTACTTGTGAAGCAGCTATTTCATTGTCTTGTTATTCTTGTTAGTTATAACTGATCATGATAGTTGTCTGTAGATTCCCAACAACTTTACCTCCCAGCTGGCCTGCTTTGGAAATGACATGTACTAATATGGGCCAAATTGCATGTTACTCTTTCCTTCTTTCTGTGTAGTAAGTTGTAATTAAGTTATGGGTGTTAATTTCCATCTTTAAGTGACAGTAATTGTGATCGTCAGTAATATGGGAATGTTTACTGAAAGTGATCCTAATGGTTTGTCACTTTTGCTAGTTACTGATGTTTTGTTACCCCGTTTCTGTTTTCACCTGTACACCAATATAGCTCGTCTATCTGTCTACTATGACGAGAATGTGCTGTTTGAAGAATATTTTGAAGTTTTATCAGGAGAATTTCAAGCTATTTCCAAGGTAATGATCACTTTCTTCTGTTCTTCTTCCTACTAGAACAAGTTTGTGGCGTTGGCATACTGGCATTGCATAGGTCACTTTAACCCACTTCAGCGGTTTTCTTTGCGTGTCTGGAACATTAATCAATTTCAGGTTCTCAACTTTCAAGTACTATGATTCCGGCGCCCTTGCTTGAAATTTTTCCTTTCGATTATTTGTTACTTTGGGCAAATATTGATAAAGAGATACTTGGCCAAATGCATACATTACAATCTCATTTATAGAATTTTTCATGCAGATTCAGCTTTTACATTTGGAGGGATGAATTTTTGAATTCTCACCGACAGTCAAAAAGAAAATCTCACTTATAATATTTTTCATGCAGGATCAGCTTATGTTAGCTCCTAAAACGGAGTTGATTTTAGCAGAACCAACTGATTTTGGTGTCCAGTCGCAGTGGACTAGGGAAATTATGTTTTCTCCACAGAGGTCACCCTCTGTTGCTCCAGATCACCTTCTGCCTTTTATGGATTCAATTGTTAGAGACCAAGAGGTGAGTTCCAAGTTTGCTTTCATGTGTTGCATTTTTTCTTTTTCCTTGTTTCTAGTCACAAAGAGTTTAATTTTATAAGAATCAAAGGGCAGGTGCTTGGATCATGCATTTTTTTGTGCATATTTTCTTTATATCCAATGGGGGAGCTTCTTTATAATTGCCTTAGATTCAATTTTTTGCTGGTAACATGCCATCAAGGTTGGTCATGGATGTTGGATTCAGAAAATCAAGTTCAGAAAATTATGGAAGTTCAGAAAAAAATAAAAAAAGTGGGGTGGAGATAACAGGAATATACGAAAGTTCAGAAAAATAAATTGGATTAAAAATGCCTCTATTCTGGTTTTTATTGACTGCCACTTTTTTCTAATGTTTAGCAATCTTTATTAACATTTAATGATGCTTTGAGGCTTACAAACTAAAGAAATAGAGCAGAACTCCTACACCCCCAGGGAAGTTAAGCAATAAAGTTCTCCATGTTATAACCATTAATGGAATCAAGATAAGATAGAGCCTTACATGTTATGTGGGCCCCAACTCTTTTTCTAGTATCCTCTTACTCAGAAGTGGTTCCTTCATTTCCACAAACTACTCAATTGGGTCCTCTAAAATGATGTGATGCTATTTGATAGAGTTATAGTCCTCAACTTCCCTCTTCAACTTTCACTTGGAGGCTCAAGTTACAATGGATGTAGACTGGCTTGGGAAGCTCAAGGAAGTATACAAAAGGTTTAGCTAAGTACCTAGATGGTAATATTTTATAGGTGGTAAGCTCTATTGGCATGTCCTTCCCACTGCTTTGCTGAAGCAAGGGAAAGGAACATATAAGAAAGGAGTCATATGGCAATAAAAGAACGTATAATAGAATATTATAGGTCCTTAGCAACTTGAGAGCTGACCTCAGTGTAGCTTAGTGCGGGATTTTCTTGGAGGTTTGTTGCAAATTTCCTTTGCACATCTATATGCGGAGAAAGTTGATGTAAAAGTGGGGTTTAGTGGTTTACAAATGTGGCATAATCAATGAGGGATTGTATATTAATTTGTTATTGTTCTTAACCTTCTCACGATACTCTTTGAGCACCTTAAGTTTCCCATTGTCTTTACGCTTCAGATCGTGGTTTGCACTGGAACTCCATACCTAATTCTTCTGTTTTTGCATCTGTCTCTCTCCTGTCTTGACATAGTTCTTGGTATTCTTAGTTTATAACTTGCACTACATACTAACCAACTGTCTTCACCACATTATAAGCAGCCTGAAAAATAGCTTTCCACTCTTTGTATCCCTTGAGGCATTGACGCTACTTATACTTATCATTGTCCTCTAGCTCATCTGCTTGAACTCAACCATGAGCAAACCTGTTTGAAATGTGGCTTTCCAAGGCCTTAAATCCAAGATTCCCTCACTTAGTGGCAGTGAGTGAGGGAAGATGATTCTAGGTGCTTGGCATACTGGGGCCTAGAATCATATACCCTGAGTATATGTGAAAGGAGTGGCTATATGGAACCCAAGGTAGTAAATTCAAAAACATTACTTTCTTTTTTATTCAATATATCTGAATTCCACTTACATGGGCCACTAAACATTGCAAAATTAAATACTTTTACTGCCAAAGCAAATAAAAACCATCCAGGAGCAATAACCAATCTTTCACTATAGTTTCGAGTACAAAATATGTTCCTGAAAATTTATAGAAAAAATATAAAATATGACGGAAATAATTAAATCAACTGGGAAGACGTATTGGATGCTGTCTGGAGTTACCCTTACAGGTCTTGATACTGCCTGCACCCGATTCTTTGACCGACGACACACATTTTGTCCCCTTTTATCTTGCTGGAATTTCAGAGATGGGATGCTTTCATAGACAATATATCTTATTCCAGGGTTTTACTGAGCATGCAAACCTAACTAGGGTTTGTAGGAACAAATTAGGATTGGGCTTGAATGCAGAGAATCCCCCTATAGCTGGGGCGTACCCTTTTTTCTTATCCAAACAGAAATACCCTAATTAGGTTTTCAATGTGTCACCCTTGTCTTATTGAATTTTGGGGCATGATCCCTTTTTGGAAGGGGGGAGAGGGAAAAATGAATTTTTTAATAAGAGAGAGAGAGAGTTTGGTGCATGGAGGAGAGAGAAATGTGTCATGAGAGAAATGGGCTCAATGGTGTTTGAATTAGAATTCTTTCCTTAGGTATTTTACCTATCTAATGAATTTACGGTAGAAATAAATTTTAAAATTCTAAAAAAAAATTTAAAAACCACAAAAATATTTCTAATTCCAAAAGAGAATATTTTAGAAGTGGATTGGTACTATTGGGTTAAAATTAGCGACAATAGGGGCACTTCAGTTGACCTAAAAGCTATGATCCACTATTGTTTTCTTGTCCAACCCAACAAAGACCTATGACCCACAGTCTCAGTGCAGGGCTCATGTTGACTTGTTAAAGTTGTTAAATTTTGACAATAAACAGTGGAACTTTGATCTTGGAATGTTGATTACTTCTCCTCTTTAAGAACATGTTCAGTGCTTGCCACTACAGTGCAAAAGGAGGCTCTCTATGCACCGGTACATATGCCCCTCTGTAGGACTGCTTTCCAGTAATGCGGCTATCATGTGTACATGTCGTGCGGAAGTTTGTTGATGTTTTGGCCCTTGCTCTCACAAGCCTACAACCGTAGATAGGAGACCACATAGTTCTCTTAGCCTACAAACATCTTCCTTGGGCATCTCTCCGACCTCAACAAGGGATGATCCACTATAAACCCATTTATAGGCCTTTAAAAGCCACAAAAACCAACAATATGAAGCTATGAGATATACGGGTGAGAGAGAAAGATCGCTATTTGAGGTGTGAGGATTGCCTCTAAGTCAGGGATATACTTGGAATATATCCCTCATGGGATTATTTGTTGGCCAGGGCTAAGAGAACCAAAACGATATCAAAACCTGAATACTTACGTGTAATGGCCCTATATAAGAAGGTCATGATTCATGGGACATGATTTCATACCTTGAACGGAGACCACCCTATATCTTGTGCACCCACAGTTGTATGGGAAGCCACTCTTTGATGTGTTATGATCTAATTAGGAAGGGGCAAGGGTGCACCTGTGATTCACTGACACCCGGGAATGTTGGGACATTGATTGGGATGACTTTAAAGACCAATATTATTTATCCCTGCAACAGGCATGAGCATAGGCTTGTTGGGTCATTCTGAGAGAAAGTACCATCAGTCCATAGTAGGCCATTTCTCTACACACTTACTACTTAGAGAGACACTAGAGAGTCTCCACACTCCTCTCTTTTTCAATAGCTATGGCCAATTGATTATTCTTCCATGGTGTCTAACCCACTTGCTGCTCCATAATTAAGGTAATCTCCATAGCCTTAGTCCTTTCATTTCTAGAGTATTTCCTTCATCTTTTATGTAAATCTCATATTACAGTGGCTTTTTCATATGTTTGAGTATTCATGATTTCTAAGTCCCTTTTAGACTATGCATGTATACCATGATACGTGTATAGTCTAGTTTACTACCTTGCTCCTAGACACCATTTTCTCCATCATTTTGATTGCCTGATTTCTCTGAGAATTTTCTCCACGCATTTGATGTTCATTTGAGTACCATATTATGCGCCCTTGATCCTAGAGCATTTCTCTTGTGAATCTACACTTATTTTCTCTAGTTTATTGCCATATACTTCCACATAGCATAAGCTGTTTATACATGATTTTTGTTTCATGGAACTCCATGGAGTTGTAAACCTTTCATTTTCAGTGATATTTCAGTCTTTGTAAGTTCAATTTTGTGGCTCTACCATTGTGTAGGAGTTGTGGGAACTGGTATGTGCAAGTGCTGCTTGTAAAAATTTAAGATGAGTACCAAGTTCAAGAGTTGTAAAAGGAGCTTCCTAGACTCATATCACCATCAAGGCCTACCTTAGTGTTCTGCTCATCTGAGCATGCCTACCAAGATCATGTGGTGTTGGGGTTTGTTTCCCAATCCTTGCATTAGTTGTCATGGATATTGTGGGTTTGTAGTACTCATTGGCCGCGTTGAAAGGCATGGCGACTTCATAATCTTCCTCACGCACTCCCTTATTGTCATAGTAAAATTGGACTTGATGGTCCTTTGCTCTGATGAAGGCTCTGAAAGGAAAATTCGACCTTTGGTAGGTTGCATATGTTGAATGGTTTAATGGGTTGAGGAGCTTGTTCAGCAAGTGCTCCTCATCACATCTCTCTCCATCATGCCTTCAGCATGAGCAGGCCCAAAGCCATCGACAATGTGGCTTGATGTGGTACTTGAGGACCTCCTACACCCTCGTCTCCATACAGCTCTGCTGGGGGTATATCTCAAAACTTGCCTTTCTCGCAAACTTGAGTTAGGCTTCAAACTCATAATCTGCCCTTTCCTCTTGACCAGTGGTGTAGTATTGCTTGTCATCAACCCACTCTTTTGAGACTAGAGACATAGTATTGGCTACCAATGCCCTCAGCCATCTTCTTTTTAACTTCCATCTTTTCATTTGCCACTGTGGTAACTGCTACCATTGTTGCCTTGCATTCTCTGGCACCTTGTAAAGAGCATCCCCCACCCTCGATACTGTAACTCACCTCCTTTGCACAGAACATCCATCAGACTTTATCCTACATGTTGGTAAATATCCTAATCCTATACTCCCAGGCAGGATCCTCCCTATGGCATACACCAAACTCGAAAATTATACCAACAAACAGCTGGGAATTAAGAAACCTTGGAAGTTTGGTGTATGCCGTAGGGAGGATCCTCCCTAGTGCTCCTTTTATCTCTAATTTTTTAATCTTTCTCTAATTTTAGATCTTCCCTATCTTCTTCTTTGCAAAGCCATAGCTGCAAGCTACTAGGACTGCACCATTTCTTTTTTTACATGACTTTGTGCTTTTAGCCGACATCAAGTAGTTGGAAAAAGGCTTTGATGATGATGACACGACTTTGTGCTTTTGATGCCCAAGGG